CTGTATTCAAAATTATATTTATTTTTAATGTTTACTGGCTTGACCGAGGGGAATCTGGGGGATTATATTTGGTGCAGCGGTTTACTTCGGTGGAAAATGTTTAATATTCAAAACCAAACATTTGTTTTTGTTAACGCTAGATTTTAGGAATCTTTTAATAACTTATACATAAATCTGTATAAACACATTTAAACAGAAGTATCAACATTCAACGGGGCTCAATAAACTGCAGTGGTTCGAACAGCTTAAGTAGATTAGCGTTGATTTAAAATCTTATGAAAAATTTATCAAATTTTAAAATTCGGTTGTGATGTAAATTGTAAAATTTATGTAAATTGTTTAAATTTTTAATCATGCAATAATTACCGTAATTCAAATTAATTTCCAATAAAATTGATAGAAGTATTAAAATATTCTTATAACAAATGTTCTATTGTTGGTTACAGCTACAAATATGATTTATAAAACCAGGATTTTTTTTTAATTTTTAGAAAGAAAATCGGGATAACACCTGCATTTTAAAATGGAAATTGAGTTGCCACCCTGAGCTAGTACAATCTGAAAGGGTTTTTCAAGACCTTTCTAATAATCAAAACCGCATTTTGCTTAAATGTGTGCTACTATGTTAAAATTGATTATTTCCATGTAGATCGATTTTTTCGGTTATATTTAAGATCCACCCTTCTTCTTCTTCTTTGGCTTTATTATATCCCTACTGGGACCTAACACCGACCCTCAACTTAGTGTTCTTTGATTGACAGTTTTTAATTGAGAGCTTTCTAAGTCTGTACCATTTTTGCATTAGTATAATTGTGTGCCCTTATAAACGGGTACCAAACACAAAATGATATCATATATGGTGCGACCATACCGCATATAGTTGGGATGATATCCTGAATTGGTGGTTAGGCGCTTCTTATGGTTATTGTTTATGCGGGTGGTACAATCATGTTTTATGCCCAGGGAATGCGAGACATTTTTCAATACGAAAAATTCCTAGACCAGACCGGGGAATCGAACCCAGCCACCTCCAGTACCTTTATCGACTGAGCTAAAAGAGATTTTGTCATAATCTAAGCAGTTGCGTACCGTAACCTCACTTTTTACCTTACTATCATATGACAATGTGTGATTTCGTCCTATTTCTTCAATTTTGAGTAGAGTCAACCATTTCTATAAAAGTCCTATGAATTTCCCCCAAAAGCTTTATAGACTTCCTCAAAAAGTATGTTGACTTCCTCCATATCTTCCTGTAGACTTCATGCAGATATTCCTTCACATTTTGTTGTGAACCTCTTCCAAATCTTTCTATGGACTTCCTTCAGATTTTCATGTGGATTTCCTTCAATTCTTCCTGCACATATCTTCCAGACGTTCCTATGAACTGTGCGCTTACCTTCTGAAGAGCTTGTCCGAAAGTGAGTGGAGAGTTGCCCGTGTGTGTTTATGAAGCGTTGCCACAGAGTCCTCCGTTTACCGGCATTGAATTGTTGCGCTTACAACGGAGGGCTGCACACACGGCTTGCTGACTCGTTAAGCGTCAAGTTAAGACCTGCTTTCACTAGCGCTAATATATGCCAGACATGAACTTCCTCCAGATTTTCTCTTGGTCTTCCTTAAGATCTTCCCATGTGCCTACTTTCTCCAGATCTTCATGAAGACTTCTTCAAAAACATCCTGTGGATGTTCCCAGATCTTCCTGTGGACTTTTTCCAGATCTTCCTATGGACTTCATGTGGATATTCCTGTGGACTTCTTCTCGATCTTCCTATGGACTTCTTACAGAACGTTTCTATGAACTTCCTCCAGATTGTCTAGTGGAATTTCTCTAGATTTTCCTGTAGACTTCCTCCAGATCTTTCTATGGTTTTCCTCCACCTCTTCCTGGGAACTTCCAATCTTCATGTGGACTTCATTCAGATCTTTTTGTAGTTTTCCTCCAGATCTTCCTGTGGACTTCCTCCAGATTTTTTTGCGAAATCTCCTTGTAAACTTTTTCCAGTTCTTCATGTAGACTACCTCCAGATCTTCCTATGGGTTTCCTCCCGAACTTCTTGTGTGACTGTTTCTATAAATCTTTCGGTGAGCTTCCTCCAAATCTGCCTGTGACATTCTTCCAGATCTTATTGTGAGCTTCCCGAAAATTTTCCTGTAAACTTCCTCTAGACTTCCTCTGGATCTTCATGTGGATTCCTGCAGATCTCTCTGTGGATTTTTGGATTTCTTCTATATTTTCCTGTGAACTTCTCCATGTTTTGTGTGGGCTTCCTCCAAATCTTCCATATTTTCCTGGGTGAATTCTCCAGTCTGTGGGCTACATTCAAATAGTGTTGCAGATTTCCTCCAGATCTTTCTGTGATTTTCTTCCAGATCTTCCTGTGGACTTCTTCCAAATCTTTCTGTAGTTTCTTCAGATTTGTGTTGCCCTTTTTCTAAATCTCCTTGTGGACTTTTTCCAATGTTACGCATCGTCCAACCGTTCAGATCTTCCTGTGTTCCTCTTTTGATAAATCTTCTAATATGCTTCCTCCAAATCTTCCTGTGACATTCTTCCAGATCTTATTGTGGTCTTTCTCCAAATTTTTCTGTGGAATTCCTCCAGATCTTCCTGTCGATTTCTTCCAGATCTTCCTGTGGACTTCGTATGGACATTTTTCAGATCTCCCAGTGAACTTTTTCCAAATACTCCAGTAGACATTTTTTAGATCATATTGTAGACTTTCTTCGGATCTTCACATAGATTGCTTCTATATTGGACTTCTGCAAGTTCTTTTTGTGGACTTCCTCCAGATATTCCTGTGGTTTGGTTCCATATTTTTCTGTGTGCATTATCCAGGTCTCCCTGTGGGCTACTTCCAAATAGTCTTGTAAACTTCTCCAAATCTTTCTGAGGTTTTCTTCCAGATCTTCCTGTGGACTGCCTGTGGAAATATCCTTGTGGACTTCTTCCAGTTCTTCCTGTAGACTTCCTCCAGATCTTTCTAAGGATTTCCTCCAGATCTTAATGCGTGCCTCTTCCTATAAATCTTCCTGTAGGCTTCCTCCAAATCTTCCTGTGACATTCTTCAAGATCTTATTGTAGACTTCCTCCAGATTTTCCTGTCGGTTTCTTCTGTGAACTTTTTCTAGACCTTCTTATGGACTTCCTTCATGAATTACATTTAGAGTAATATTTACAATTAGTTTTCAATGCTTTCATTACATCTTTAAAATGCATTAATGATATTAAGTACTTTCACTTGAATTTTAACTCCGACGCACCAGTCATGGGTATTGCGTGCCCCTAGCTTCCTCCAGATCTTCCTGTGAACTTCTTCGAGATCTTCACATAGATTTCCTGCAGATCTTCCTGTGGGCTACTTCCAATTCATCCAGTAGACTTCCTCCAGCTCTTTCTGTGGACTTGCTCCAGTCTTTCATGTGTACTTCCTGTGGTCTTTCTTCAGCTTCTCCTGTGAGTTTCTTTCAGATGTCCTTACGGATTTATTTCAGATTCTCATGTGAGCTACTTCCAGATGTTCTTACTGACTTCTTCCAGATCTTCTTGTGGGTTTCTTCTAGGACGTCCTATAGATCTTCCTGTGGACTTTGTCTAAATGTTCCTTTGGACTTCCTCCAGAAGTACTATTATGTTTGGGAATTTCCTTTAGTAATTCTTCGAACTTTCTTTGGCATATTCCTTGAACGAAGTTCTTGAACCTTCCTTCAGAAGTCCCTTGAACTTCCCGTGAGAATTTCCCTGAATTCCCCGTAGGAAGTTTCCTGGAAGTTTCTTCTCAACAAGCTTCGCTAGGAATTGGGAAACGAGATTTTTGGTCAAATTCGTGGAACTCGTGTCACAGGATGTCACTGGTAGAAAGCAATAAACACAACTGTTGAATCTTAAAATATCAATGAAAAAATATTTTAAATCATGTATTTTTTTACAAACCTCCTCCCCCTCTCTCCCCCACCATAAATTCTGGCGCAGCCTGGTGTAAATCATTAACTTATGGTAAACACTGCCTTCGAGAAAGTATTTGCATTCATTTTATCCAATCTTCTAATGTGAGTGAAGTTAGGGTGGTTAATTACGGTTTATTAGTTCAAATATCAAATGTTTATGATATCAGCTACAGTCTGGCGGCGCTTCTTATCTCTTAAAAGATGAGTTTGTTGTCCTCGCTTTGTCTTTGGCGCACTTTTACCATCACAAGGAAGTGGTCCGATTCGATGTTTGCGCCCCGATAGTTCCTGACGTCGATGATATCCGAGAAGTGTCTTCCATCAATCCAAACGTGGTCGATTTGTGAATCTGTTTGTTAACGTTAAGTTGGAAAAATTGTCCTTGTTGACATCCACCGATTTGGCTTTGTTGACGTTGATGGTGAGAGACGTTGGTGGCGCAGAGGAGCGTTCGGCTAGATCATCGAGCTTACTCTGCATATCAGAGCACCATTGCAAATAGAGCAACCTTCGTTGAACAGCAACCCACCACAACCATTTTACCCGAGACTGTCTTGAGCCTTATGCCGCGGATACACTTGTATGACTAACTATGAGCAAGAGCATTATTTGTATAATAAATTGTGAGCACATCCATGGTCACACTTGTATAGTTTTAGGATGAGCTCATAATAGGTTACCCGGTCTCTCCCATGTACCCCAGTCGGCACCGCGGGGAGGTAGGGATAGGAGTTACTGGACAATAGGTTAAGGGCCATATCCGGGTCTATTTTGTTCCTGTAGGTACGCGTTGTCCAACCGTTTACCAGCCAACAGCGATTCAAGACATGATAACGATAAAGCATATTATTAACATATTAGCGGCTGTTCATAAACCAAGTGCACTCTTTAGGGGGCGAATGTTTACGGCTCAAACAAACTAAAAGAATATATGGACGGTTATCTACGCGGTGGGAGGGGGTCTAAACCTCTTAAAAAACGGTGTACACAGTTTATGAACAGTCTCTTATCTCTGCAAACATTGGTTAGTAACGTATTCTTTTCTTGTTTTACAGGCATTGATTAGTGCCAAAAGGCACTCTTTGTGATGGGCTGAGCTGTAGTTTCTGTTGTCCGGTACATCAACTGCAAAAGCGCCACATAAGGTCTAACAAATAGTATAATTTTCTGTACCTCAGCTGTTTTATATGTGCGCAGAGACACTTGCGGCTTAGCTAGAGCGAACAAATAAAAAAAAAGTCACGATGGGTCTCATCGAATGCCCTGTTTGTACCCTGTACCTCCGAGCCGATATGAGCTTGGAGGAACATCTTGGGACACATCCAACGGATAAGGTTATCAAAGCTTTGGTATCAATGGCCACCAAAACGCAACCGCTCGGATCTGCCCAATCACCTGCACCAAACACTGTTGCAAGTCCGACTACTATCAACACATCAAATCCCATGGAGCTGGCAATGATGGCAGTAGCATCCAGTTCACGTCCCCGTACACCACCGAATGCGCTCATGTATCACAGTAGTGGATATGAGTCGATGAAACAAGAAGCTCCGCCTCCTCCACCGCCACCACCTGCACCGATTGTGCCCACTTCCGTTCCAACTGCAATTACCGTTGTGAAAGCTTCCGATATGGGTTATCCGATAAACAATGTTATGATCGTCAAAAGCTGCAGCACTAAGTACGTACATCAAATACCGCAGTCAAGTGGCAGTACCGGTGGAATTGGGGCGACTACAGGAACAGCAACGTTTTATCCTTCCAGTTCGCTCGAGGGAAGAAACATATTTATAGAACCTGATCGAGGAGGAGCGTGTGGGACATTGACGGCTCGTCGTCAACTAGCTCCTTCGTTCTATCCTCGTTATACAAATGAGCGTTATTCTGGCCCTCCTCCTCCCTATAGTACGGCAATTTCATCAACGATCTCTGCCAACTCACACCTGCAGCAGTCTTCGATGACGGGGCTTGTCTCAAAATATGAACAGAAAGCAGTCCTACAACCACAGCAACAGCAATCGTTCTGTTCCACTGGATCATCGACACCTGCCGTAGTACATGCCGTGCCCACAATTGCTATTACACAACAGCAACAACAGCAAATTTATCAAACACAACCACGTCCATCCCCGACACCTACCATGCAACAGTCGTCGGTCGCAAGTCAGCAGCAGAATCAGCAGGTGCAGCTACAGACTACCAATTTCAAACATCAAAACTTCCTGCAAGCTCAGTACACAGAAAAAGACGATGGGAACTTCGTAGTCACCGAAAATCCTAAGAAAGTCGTTGAATATACAGAAAACGATGAAGGTAATTTTATGGTTATTGAAAAGATCGTCAAGTCACCACCGAGGGTTGTCCAAACCAGTGACGAGATGGAATTATCGTTGCCGTCTGAAGATGTAACGCATATGAAGTCTGAAGATCACTTTGAAGAGGATGAAGAACAGAAGGACTACGATGAGATGATGATCGATGAAGATGAATCATATGAAGTAAAAGATATAGACGATCAAGATCATTCGCAGACAGACACTATTGAAATAATAGAGAATGAAGACGGTACCTTCGACGACAATCGAGGATGCTTCGGAGTTAAACAGATGCCCAAACCGATGTTGATCAATAGTATTGGAAGCACTAAAAAATGCAACAAGTTCAATTTATTCGTCGACTCATCCCAGTCACACGGAGGAGCATCTACAAGTGGCACGATAACACCACGGAAAAGACCAACCAGTGGGTTGAAAGTGTTGAGTAATGTGAAAGTCACCACGGATTTATCTCAAGGCATCAAAGATATTATACTGAATCTGAATAGCAAAAATAAAACCACCAATGTCACTGCGAGCAACGGATGCTCTCCGAATTTGGATGGAATTCAGACTTCATTTATCGCGGGAACTAAACCCACTGCAGTTGTAAATAACAATTGCCAAAACGAGCTTATAATAAATGCGGGCAGCAACATGCCTCCGATTGATCTCAACAATGTCAACGACATCGAAATTATTAACGACGACGAGGAGGATAATCCTTCGGATGAGGAAGAAGAGTGTTACGTTGGTTCAATGGAAGTGAAGGCAACCAGCGCCGATGCTTTCCGATTAGAAAAAGATGCCGCGGAGGCAGAGTCGTCTAGAAGTGCTTCCCGTGCTACTCCAACTCCCTCGGTAATCACAAGCGTCATCCGTATGACTCCTCATTCATCGCCGGTAGTTGCTCCGTTAACATCACCTCAACCAGCACCAGCAAGCGTTCAGACAACACCAACCCCTACTGTTGAATCCATTGATCCCCCACAATCGATGAAAACAACTCCAGTGGGTACCAGTGAAGCTTCGTTATCATGTAGATCGTCTACCACATCCATTCAGAAGCCACACACAGCAAGAAAACCTGTGCAAACTGCCAACTGCTCTTCGGGGCTTATATTCAACAAACCTCCGAAAAAACTGACCGTTAAACTAAAAACTCCCCTGCCTCCGGCGCCACCGCCAACACCACCACTTGTCTCAATTACCCCAGCCCAGGTTGTACCGAAAGTAGAACGTATTACAGGCGATTCCGAGGAACAAGAATACCAGCACAACGAACAGGAAACTTCATTAGCTGGTGAAAATGTTCCTGATAATCATGAAGCACCGCCGTATTTGCTCTCGCCTGCTATCCAAGAAAGCAAGTTCATCGTTTCCGAATGCAACCAAGTACAATCGGAGGTAAGCGAAATTATTCATGTTTGAACCATTGAAAATGTATAACACAATTCTTCTCTATTTCACTAGATGCGTTCCCCACCCATGATCGATGGAGAAGGGACGTCTTCTGATATGAAGTTCAGTGCATCATCGTCGAAAACCGTAACAACCTACATAACAACAAAGATAGAGAAGGATGCTCAACTCGCAGAAACTGTAGTTTTCACCCAGTCGTCGTTGAATCATGAGAACAGTAACTGTGCTATGATATCCAGCCCTAATTCCAGCTCTCAAGAGAATCACCAGATCCAGGATGCTGCCATTCCAACATCATCACAGGAGATCGTTCAAACCACCACAACTACGGAGGTCGAATGCTTCAACATAACTTTCATCGACGACGAAGGAGGTGTTTTGAATAACCTTGCAAACACTAGTTCCGGTGCTATGGCGATACACGAGGTGATAGCACAAAATTTGGAAATCAGCAACGACAATTGCACCACCACAATCGTAAAACAAGATGAGGAAGTTGATCAAAAGACTAACATTGCCAGTGGGTGCAACATAGAGATTACCGAAGTTTATGCACTCTCACCTCACAGTGCACCGCAAGGGCCAAGTGACACCGAAAATGCAACATCACCCGCTACGGAAGAATTTGAACCGGCGGATCTTAAGAGTCGAATCAAAATCGAAAAAGTCGAAAAACCTACTCAAGGTGAGGAGGAAAATTCAGCCAACGATAGTGAAAGGACAGAAGAAGACAGGGTAGCTAAAATAGAACCCAACACTTCTGTTAATTCCATGTCTATATGTAACAGTAACATCTATCAAAACGATCAAAAAGACCTGCTCGAGGCTGGACCTTCGAGAGAAATGACAACCGTTGATAGCAATAGTGGTAGCAGCGCAACGCATAGCCGTGCCGAAAACGTTGAGCCAACATTCCTTGAGTATAGTGCCGAGTACGATGATTATGTTCCGGTCAACGGCTATGGAATTCCACAAGAACAGATTCCGCTGTCGTGGGTGCAAAAGTTCAGCCCGCAATATACTCCATTCGATGACCAAAATTCCTACATGGATTTGGACATGTGCAGCAGTAAGACAAACTCCAATAGCGTTGGGGAAAACAGTGCCATCAGTGGGGGTAGTGGCAGTGGAAGCAATGGCAGTCGCAACGGCACCAGTATGGATCGGGCGCCATCGGCCGAGAGTCTGAATATTAGAACAGACGAGAAGATGCCTGCCAAGGGCGAAATATCGGAACAGGAGAGCAACGGAGACATGGAACTGTCGTGGAACAGGGTAAGTGTATGCACCTGCTTACACAGTACTATTATGTACTGAGATAATGCGAACGATTTAATTAGATATGAAGCTAAATCGACTCATACGTTATTCGGAGTGGTTTTTTTTAGTGTAGCTATGGCAATTTTTTTTTGATTAGGGTAATTAACTGATTTCATTGAAGGTAGTTTCTGTAGTTTTCACTAAAACAAAATGATCCTGTTCAAATTTGCACTTATTTTAACTTCTCAGAAAAACGCAGTTTTATTTTTAACTCTATTTGTTCCAAATTCAAAATAAATTACATTTAATTTTAACCTAGGTTCTCCAGCTACTACAGTAACTTACCAGACCTAATTGTTATGATACTTGACACTTAGATATATGTTTTTACAGTGCTCCTGCCGCCTTGGCAATTCAGTATTGTAAACAGGTTTTCTATACCTGCATGTCAGTATAACAATTGACATCTTCAAACTAAAAACTAAATCTAAATCTTATCTAGGTATAAAGAGAATCTTCAATTGCTACGATATTTGCCTGAAATTATTAATTATTTTGTTTTTTCTTTTTGTAAAATTTATCGTTTATTTTTGTATTCTTAAAAGATTACAATTAGATGGTTTACAATTCGCATCTCAAAGTAGAATGTAATGGTTCTCATCAATTTTCGATGTTCCGTCTTCTCGTTAACCAGCAAGTATAAACTGCTCCAATCGATGACAGTTGTTTCGCCGCAATGTTTGCCCAAATGCGTTTCCGAACAAGTGGAGGAAGAAGGGGAATTTGCTGGGAAATCAACTTGAAGCAGGGAAGATCTGCAGGGGGAGGAATTGTTTGGTTCAGAAGGGATTGGACGATTCACAAGCAGCGCTTTGCACTTCGAAGCTGGTAGCTGCATTTTCAATCCGCCATTTGTTCCATTGGAACGCGCGCTGGTAGTCCGCACCACTGAAAATAGCCCATAGTTGCCGTAATCTTTGCCGTGTGAACACAATACGGCGTGAGAATGGATGCAACATACCAAATCTTCGCCGTAATGAATGTGTTTAAAAGTATTACTTGTTGTTGCAGGTTAAGACTCCTCAGCGAGTGCAACCACAACTGCTGAGCAAATTTTGATACGAAAGCATCCCAGTTAATTTTGATCATTGCGCGGAATTGATTGGTGAAATAGACGCCCAGAATCTTCACCTTTTTTGCTGTTTGCAGCCATGGCACGTTTAGTGGGTCTCCAACAATGAAACCAACGTCTATGGCGACAGTTTGATGCCGATTTAATTTTGCACCAGCGGTACGTTTGATCCGCTCAAACAATTCATTGATGCGGTCAATTACCTCTGTATTGGTTTCTTAACTACACGCAGAAAAAAGTTTTTTAATTTCAATGATATTATGTATTAAAAACAACAACAAAAATTATCATTCCCCGGCTAATAACTTTTTTTATTGAATTCAACAATAAATCTTTATTGTTCGGACATAAAATATTGTTGTTTTCAAAATCTGTCAAAAACGCAATTAAAAATATATTTTGTTGAATTTACAATATTTATTTTCAAACAGACAAAATCTTTTTTTTGATAAAAAAAAATAAGTTGCTACAAACAATAACTTTTTTTTATTAAAAAAAAAATTGCTGCAAATAAGAAATTGTTTTTAATAATTTAAAAATAAAATTGGTTTGGCATAAATATTTTAATTTTTAATTTTAGCAGTTTTTCTATTCGAGAAATAATTTTCAATAAATTTAAAAATTGTTTTCGGTTTCATTTTCTATTTATTAACAAACGGTACAAATAGTGATTCAATAAGTTTATCAATTATACAAAAAATACCGAAATTATGACCCCTCATTAACGGTATGTAAATTAATAGTTTGCGTTTCGAAACGGGCAACGTTTCCACGGTGTATTGATTTGCTGGAATTGGGGGAAAAAATCGTTAAAACACGTATTAAAATGCGAATACTGAATTCCTTACAAAGAAAGCAACTTGTTCAAAAAGAACTTCTTCCGACGAGACTGGGAAGCTGAGCATGCACAGGCATTGAAAACACACACATACAATGACAAAATGAGCCTGTGTATGTTTTGGAAAAGTGTTGCTTTTAAATTTACAATATATTTTTAAAAAGTAGTTAAAATAATATTTGAAGACAAAAATATATTTTATTGAATCTACAATATATTTGTTTTCAGAATTTGCAATGAAAACAACAAAAAACATTTTTGAAGCTACAAAATATAAATATTGAGTTCAAAAAAAGTTATATTTGACATTGCAAAATATTTCAATAATATTTTTTTTTGGTTCAATAAGGTCAATTTTCTCTGCGTGTACATAAATCAACTGCTCCTTCGATCCAACTCTTCACCCCCTCTCAGTTGATGGTCTCCAATCCTATCTTCGTTCTCAAAAGTGTTAAAGCCGGGGCTGGAAATGACTTTGTAAGAATGTCCGCTTCTTGCTTCTGGGTTGGTAAATATACAAGTTTCACCTTTCCGTCTGCAACCGCTTCTCGAATAAAATGAAACTTGACATCTATATGCTTGACACGTTTCGTCTCCTCCTTCTCTGCCATAGCTATAGCGCCTTGGTTGTCCTCGTAGATTGGTAATGGATACAAGTTTGATTCACACAAATCGGATAGCAGTCCAGTAAGCCAAATTGTTTCGCTAACAGATGAGCTCAATGCAATGTACTCAGCTTCTGTGGATGACATTGCTACCGTGCGCTGCTTCTTGGACGACCACACGACAGTACATCCAAATACCTTAATCAGGAATCCAGAAACACTTACTTACGATCCTCCTCGTCGCTTGCATAGTCAGCATCAACAAACACAGCGACCGGTCGTTCATGCGGGATCCTCTTAAAGATCAGCCTTAGGTCTTTTGTCGCTTGAAGATAACGCAGTACTCGTTTGGCATGCTTCCAGTGGTCCTCTCCTGCAGCATCTTGGAATCTTGCCAGATAGCCCACAACGTAGCACAAGTCTGGTCTTGAGCTCAGCATCAGGAACATAAGACTGCCAACCAGTTGTCGATACGGATAGTTGGATCCTTCAGTGGTCTTTCGAAGTTGCAACTTCGTTTCAGCGGGTGTGTGGGCAGGTTTACAGCCGTCCATTCCGAAACGTATTAGTATTTTTCGGATTAGTGCTTCTTGAGACAAATACATAGTACCTTCCTCGTCACGTTCTATCTTGATGCCCAAAAAGTGATGTAGTTCGTTCAAATCCGTCATTTCAAATTCTCGTTTCAATCGATCTTTAATCTCCTCAATAATGCGCAGATCGCCCGTAACCACGAGCAAATCGTCCACATAGATAACGATTTAAGCGATTTGATTTCCTTGTCCACGCACATATATACGCAGTAGTCGTGTCGGGAACGACGAAATCCCATGCTCACCAGAACTTCATTAAAGCGACCGTTCCAACAGCGAGGTGATTGCTTGAGACCGTATACCCGAGCAAAGTCGATTAACAAAATGAAAGCAAATCCATATTAAAGTTTGAAGTTCATATCATAATGAAAACTAATTTTGATTTCAATTTTTGCGACAGAAGTCTGATATCATATTGTGCTTTCATTTTGCAGTCAAGACTTTTTAAAAGAAAGCAATTTAACATGAAATTCTGCTGTTAACGTTTTGTTTAAAATTTAATTTAAGTTCATCTGTCGTTGAACTAACGATTATTGTTTATTTATTTTGTTTCATACATTTTTGGTAATTCTTGACTTCCCTGGGGTGAGATTTGAGCTCAAGTCTTTCAGCGTGAGAAGCATGGATGCTAACCATTTACGCCAGGCCCATATTCAGTTAAACATTATGAATGCAAAATCAATAACCAAATTGATTTCATTGAAAGCAGGATTAGTTGTCCATTTGATTAACCGTTAAGTCAACCAAAATAAGATCAACTGGAGTATTCAAAATAATTTACATCGTAACAGCAAATTTTGATTTCAATTTGATCTCCAGCTTTGCTCGGGTAGCGATTTCTTCAACAAGCATGCTTCATTCGGTGGACTGCCAGAGCAAAGCTGGAGATCAAATTGAAATCAAAATTTGCTATTACGATGTAAATTATTTTGAATACTCCAGTTGATCTCATTTTGGTTGACTTAACGGTTAACGCAGTAAAAATGAGAGCAAAATTTTACATTCGATCCAGCTGGAATTTCACTTGGACTCCTGCTTTCAGCAACCGCGACAATGACAGGAAATTGAACTTGAGGTTCTTCACAAATAAGATGTTTCCCAAGGACAATGTCAGACTGTTCTCACCCATGAACGTCTTCGCTTTCACTGTGCCTTCTTTAGTAGCTGTTCGGTCTGGGAAGGCACTTTCCCTTTCGGCAGTGGACTGTATCGGCAATGATTGGTGGAGGAGGCAAGCGTCGATCTAAATCAATCTCTTTGAGCTCTGAAAAGAGCTGGGGGTGGGTTTCAACGCTTGCTCCGAACCAGGGATGTGTGCTGGGTAAATATTCAAACGGCGAACGGCTACGCTAGTAACTACTTTATTTCTCTCCTCTTTCTCTCTACAAAGGTTTGCTTTCTTCTGCTGCTGAATGCTGATGCTTGCTCGTGGCCGGTCAAAAGGAAACTGAATTCAGTTTGCTTTTTTTTTTTGACTTAAATGATCTATATTTCTTGAATTTGTGTGGTTTACATGTATAGCTTATCAAGTGACACAGATGCGTCTTTTCAACTTTAGTTCCTGTGAAATTTCAATTATTATTAATTACAGTTCCTAGTCCTATCAGGCCTGTTTTAGAGATTGACCACCTTGGTGGGATTGGTTTGTTTGAAAATTTGTAAAAAGGAGACTACTTATAACTACTATTTACAACTACAACTAACCTACAACTACTATATACACCTAATCTACTATATACAAATTGCTTATCAAAGCATGTTCTGATAAATTACATTTTTGTGCAAATTTAGTCTTAATTTCGTTAATTTTGGAATCTTTATTGGCAATGCCTGCCTCTTCGTGTAAA